TGCTGTACTACACCTCAGGTTTAAAAACAAGGGTCATGGTGATGCACAATCACACACACTCCTTCTCTCTCTCTCTTTCACACACACACACATCATGATCATCATCATCAAAACATTTCTAAACAGAACCAGAAAAAAAGAAGGGCAGAAACTGGCTTGAAAAACCTCACCTTAAATCTTTGTATGCCGCAAGTATAGCGCTGCTGCACAGTGACCACTGCTACCTTTGAGTCTCCGTCTCTTCGTTTCCAGGGGAATTTATTTGCTCCTGCAGTGAGCTCCCATTCTGTGGTTACATTGTGGACACAGCTCCGCTCCTTCTTGTCGCTTTTCAAAGCAAAAGCACCCCTCACTTCTGCCGCTCCGCCACCGAGAAGCCCTCGACACTGAGTACGAATAAAGAGAGATAGAGAGCTTGCCCGGTGCTAGGCACCCAGCCTCCAGCCAGTCTACTCTATATCTGTCTGTACTCTGCTGCTAGGTCGTTGAGCTAAATATAATGATCTTCAACAGCACTTCAAGGCTAATTAGTCAAGTGAAGGGATCCACAGGCTTGGTGAGGGAGGCTGCTCATCGCAGTTGCCTCTGGATACCAAAAGAGGAAGAAAGAAAGAGCGTGTGTATTCATCTGTGTATCTCTGTGCAAGAGAAATAAAGGAAGAGGCAAAAAGGAGGAGGAAAAAAAAAGTAGGAGAGGGAAATAAGAGAATGAGACAGTGGGTGTAGAGACTGGGAGCAGAAGAGAGCCAGCCTGAGAGAAGTGTGGAGAATGAGAGGGAGAGAGAGAGAGAGAAGGAGGGACTGTGTGTGTGTCACAGGCTGAGGCAACACAGTGGCTAAAATGGTAGACACGCTGCTCTTTAGTACCCCAGGAAACCACTTTGACACTGGCATATATGGGCTGTGTGAGGATGTGAGTATGCAGGTGTGTGTTTCTGTTTTATTGTGTGTGTGTGGGTGGGTGGGTTTGTGTAATTATGGGAAAAAGGAAAGTCACAACAGGAGAGAAAACTCTTGAGTAATCTAAATGTATGGTGTCAGTGTTTTGTCTTTGTGTGCTTGTTTATGAGCACTGTGTGTCCATACTCTGCACAGTGACAGTGTGAGCTCAAGTGAACAGGACCCACAACTTCAGATGGCTGAAAGTGGATAATAATTCATCTCTAAGCAGAAAAGTGGGACGCATGAGGAACACGGCCCTATGTGGGTCAGAGGCCCTCAGGTATACTTGTATAATACTGTGGGTTTGTTGAGCTTTAGCAAATGCTCTTCCACCATCAGTGCTAAAACAAACACAGAGTGGGTTTTTGGTGCATGTGTAGGTGACTGTGGTTCAGTGGGTAGCGCAGTCGTTTGCCAACCAGAGTGTTGGAGGTTCGACTCACGGTACCTGCAGTCCACATGTGGAAGTGTCCTTGGGCAAGACACTGAACCCCCAAGTTGCCCCCGATGGTTAGTGTTGCAGATGGCTGCCTCGGTTCTGGAAACATGTTCCCTGTGTGTAACATACTTGGCCAAATAAAGGTGATTATCCTTATAAGTTTATGTGTGTCCAGCAGACTGCTGGACTCTCATGCATTGCTGCACAGATCTGTATTTGGTGTGGACTTCAGCCCAGAGTTCGTTGCCTTTATTGTATCACTGTGTGTGAACCTTATTCGAATTTAAAGAAATAATTCCATGTTTTAACAAATACTTTTTGCTGTTGTTGTTAAAAATGTGATGAACTGATCGATACCACTCGTGCGCCATGTCAGAAAGCTACGGCCAGCAGATGTCTAGCTTAGCTTAGTACAAAAAGTGGAAACAGGTAAAGCGCTACTAGCCCAGCTCTGTCCAAAACATGGTGCTTTATAACTGATATTAGTCAAAGTTTATTTATATTGGACAAAACATTTAAATACATGCAAAATGCTCACAGAAAGATAAAACATTAAAATGCATATATAGATAATAATTAGAAAGCAACTCAGATTAAAGCTTTAAACATTGCTTAAAAGTAACAATTACATGACAGTACAAGTAGCAACATACATAAATAGATATCTAGTACTTTTAGTATAACAAAAAAAAAACGTAGAGACTCATAGGCAATAAGTAGGGCCTTATGTATGCAGCATGATTGTGTTGTTGTGGAGTACTTGGTATGATTTGCCTCAGTGGGAGGGAACCACTGTGCAGCAATGATGTTCCTGGCTGAAGTAAATATGGCGCACAGCCAAAGTTAGCTAAAGAAAGCACTACATGTCTCATTTTTACACCAAATAAACAGTTTGATTCCTAATAACGTATGGTTTATTAATCCATAGAACCGGGGGTTTCATTTACATGTTTTTCACATGTGCCACCCCTCTCTGAGTCTGTGTCCCAGCCTGGCCACCCCGTCCAAAGCTTTCTAGATCCGACCCTGGTCCAAATTAACTAACTCTGCCTAACAACACCTCTACATTGGACTGATTAATAGGTTACAGGATATCTTGTTTGTTTAATTCATACTCTATTTCTTGAAAGGGTGAAGGCAATTTTTTTTTTTACATTTGGACAGAACCATACTGTTTCCCCTGTTTTAGTTTATAACATAAGCTAACTCTCTGTTAAAGATAGCTTCATATTTATCGTACATACACGAGAGTGGTATCAATATTACTATAATATCTACTAACTCTTAGCAAGAAAACAAATTAACCAGGGTCGTAGCTTCCTTCGTTTTGATATCCAGTGTATTGTTAGAGCGTTCCACTATGAAAAATTTAATCTCATTATAATAAAGAGGACAAAGAAGGGGTCAGGAATCCCACCTGCCTGTAGTAATTAGAGTAATTAAAGTAAAAATGTTTCAGTCACAAGGTTAAGAAGCATCTCCCCACCCTGGTGCTTCACTCAAACAACTCACTCACACCTGGAGAGGGACCACAAACCATTCAAGCGCCTCTTATTTGAGAGAACGACGAATAAAATCACATGATGTCACTGATGTCATAGTTCCCATGGTAACTTGCTCCATTCATGCAGTGAAATGACAAATGAGGACATGTGCATACTCACTAATAAACACGCTTATATCTTTAAAGTGCACACACAATGTACATAGACGAAATAAGTGCCTCTTAAAAATGGCCTTGCTCACAAGCCATTGAATTCCCATAACTGAACAACAGCCCTCTGACAAGCTCTCACAAAAACACAACCAGTGTAAGTAGCCTGATTCAGTGTTGTCTGATGGAACAAAAAAAAATTCTGCATTGCAAGTGAAGAGAACATAAAAGAAAAAAGCTCAACCAGCAAAACTCTCAGATTAAAAGATCTGTTAATCATTGATCAGAAGCTCAGAACTTAGATAAGAAGGCAGCATCATATCAATCATGATAGTCAGTGTAGTTTCTTATACTTTTACTTATTATCCTCATCCCCACGACTGCTTAAATAAACCCTTCAAGTCCATAAAAGCCATCCCCTATGGGGTGGTTTCAGTGTGAAGGTATAAGGGTCAAAAGCATCATTTTTCACCAAAAAGGTTTTTTATGTAACAACACAACATAGAAACAAATGCAGTATATTTTAATCACAATATTGACTTGGACTTTTACATCTTTGCCAAGGACATTTACATTATCTGCCCCATCATTTTAACTCTAAATCTCCATGTGCGTAGTTTTCTGTAGCACCTCTTCCATAACTGTCTGGTTTTACTAAGTGATGTATGTGATGAAGTAACTCAGGTAGCATCATACATTAGAAGAATGTAAAGACTAAGAGGAGTTGTCAAAGTCAAGGGCGAAACTGGGAAGGAAAGACACTGATGGACTCTGTAAATAGAGCACACAGGGATGGTGGTGTATAGCCTATAAATGGATACACACAAGCACAGCTATACCCATGCACACACACACACAAGCAGTGCTGCTGTCTTCTCTTGGCTTTTTTTTACACCCTCCTTGCAGGCCAGTATCTGTGGGAATCACGTCTATATTGTACAATTCTGCATCTCACAATGCAGTAAGTTGTACTGTATGTGCACTGAGGTGGAATCTAACAATATGGAGGTTGGGCTTGTGAACTGGCAAATGGTGTACTTTCATGCAGGAGACCGGCAATTAATGCCTTAGAATCATCAATATGACTGGTATTTGTGAGGGAGATGAACCCACAGAGAATTATAATCTAACTCTGAGACAACCCCTCATGGAGCTTTGCAGCATTTCAGCTTGCTGTTTTTTAGTACTTTACTCTTGTAATTCATGCTCATCACTCTCATACCATCAAAGGCTGTTTGCAGCAAAAGGCTCTAAAAATTCACTCTACATTGCCCTGTCAGCAACAAATGCCAGACAAAGTTAGCGATGAGCTAATAGCTCCCAGGATACTGAATGTAAAAAATTAGGCAAATGTCATAATATTATAATGTTATGTTCACTGTCTTTTTTCTGCCCCCTAGTGGTCAAAATACTCAGCTACTGCAGGCTTAACCAGTTTTCTAGTTAAGATAACTAAAACCAAAGCACATATAAGATGCAATAACCTCAGTTTTCCCCTAAATGTAAGCATACCAACAAAAGTTTTTAAAAACATAGGTAGTGGATGTAAAACACATTGGCATTGAACATAATTTGGAGTTTAGAGATTCTATCAATATTGACATTGCTGTCTGTCAGTAGGGACGCAGGACTCTGTATGTACAAAACCTTACACATGCAACAAAAGCATTCACGTTGAGTGACACTTAGTCGACAAGCGTCTGCCCTGTTAATGGTTTCCACATATTTTTGCTCCCAAAGTTGCAGAAAAATACTGTATGTATACAACCTAACTACCTGACTGAGATGATGCCATTATTTGATATAACATCACAAAACACTCACATTAGAAACCACTGATCTCATTCCTTCTTAGTCTGATACACACGGAAACAAACCCAGAAACAAATGGTGCCCTTCTACAGTACGCTACACAAGGACATACAAGCACACACACACACACACACACACACACACACACACACACACAAGCAAACAATAAGACCGTGTGTTTTGAAGGTGCTGGTCCTTGTACACGTAAACGTGTATAAAAGCATGTGCACCCAGACAGACTGTTTTACCTCACTGTTAAAAGAAAGTGGTGTGACACAAGCCTGTGTGCTCCCTGTATCTGGCTGTTCAAATGAACACTCTCTCGTCTTGGGGAATAAGAAGTAGGCCGAATCAGTGGGTGTACTCATTTCATACATTATGACTGTGGATCACACTCAAGGACATTCTCACTTCAAATTGCTATGCGAGGGAATTTCAGACATAAAGAATTAATCAGAGTTTTTAGCAAAATTGGATTATAAAGAAGACAGAGCGCAGGTCAGCTAAACTGTAATTTATGTGGCTAAAATACTGATGTCTTTAAACACGTAGTTGCATGAGCACTTTGGCAGCTCATACCCCAGGTTTGGGCAAATTAAAAAGCAATTAATCATGAGAAAATGAGCTTGAAGTATATTGTGGTATAAATGAAATATGAGTAAGCTATAATGAAATATACATTAATATAGCTCGGGCTAGTTTTATTTCATGGAGCTATAGAGTGATTTAATAATGCCTTAATTTGGTGGTGTGTCCTTGCTGTCACTCACAAACAAATCTTTTTTACTCTTCCCACTCCAGGGTCAACATAATATGACATCAAGTAATATGGGAAATTTGAACAAAATGTGCTTATTTATTAAAATAGCATCGTGTTTCAATTGTGAAGTGACACAACTTTACAGTTTAAAGTATCAACATAGGCCTCCACACAAAGAAAACTGTCACAATACTCCTGAGATATAATCTGCTTGGTATTTTCCTATCATTCACATTTTCACCAACATGTGGCAAAATCTGGCTAAATACACAAACTTAAGTGATATTTATATCTGACATTCATCTAGTTGGATGTTTGTTTTACAGCTTGAGCTTGAAATGCCAAATGGAAAGCTTGTATTATTATTATTATTATTGTTATTATCTGCAACAATGGTTTCAATCAATCAACAAATGCATGATGGTCTTTTAAAGAAGCCAGCTGCTCTGCAGGAAAGCCATTGTTGCAGTCACTCAGAAAACAACAGCAAACATGAGGCTGCTGCAGATGTCTGGAGGGCTGGCCTCACGTTAAGGAGTCAGGTAACCGCCGGACAGGCCTGTGCTATTCCTCCCCACTGACGCGTGTAGACACGAGGGGAAGTGGTGAGAGCAGCTTTCCGGGTCGGTCTCATGTCGTTTTCACAGATGGCACAACGCTCTCTGTGAAACAAACTTTATATACGCGTTAAGGTTTGGTAAATGTTAACTGCGTGTCGTGCGGTCCTCGCGTAACGCGCTCGGTATTTTGGAGCAGGCTCAGCGCAGCGGCTACTCAGGTGTTCATCTACACGAGGACGTTTGTGTCGTACTTTTACTCCTTTTGCCATATAATTCATAGAGCTGGAGTAAGGATTTCTTTCTTTTTTCACAGTTTTCTCGTGCGTACAGCATCTCCACTTTTTCTGCTTGGTTTCGTTTCCCCCCTTTCCACTATCCTGAACTCAAAATATCAGCTGACCCCGTTTGAATAGGTACGTCTGTTTTTGGCTTATTTCTGCCATCATTTCCTGCATGAATTTGAACAAAGTTTGGTGTACGTGGTCGGTTGACACCTTTTGAAAGTGGGCCAAGTGGTGGGCAAGTGAGCCTGGGCAGACTTTGACAGCCCCAGCAGCTGCTGACTTGTCTGACCTCTGTTAAGCATTGCAAAGCAAAGAGTTAGATATTAAAAGTCTTTCAGATGATACCTGGCTGTTCATAGGTCATTTAATGTTTTCTGACACTGTTTTGACTTTTGGCTTGCACTTAGATGCAAACAGGTTTATCTGTGTACTGTGAGTTACCAGCTTGTCATAGTTATAGTAGTTTTTATTTTAAAATATATGCTGTAATGTGTGTAATGTAACTTGTTAAGCTCAAAGCAAGCTTTCTCTTTTCTGCAAGGGTTTTTCTGTCGCAACCGGGTTCTTTGAGTTGCGTCCAAAGGCATCAAGTCTGCAAGGCACTGACAGCAGTTTTGTGATGCATTGAGGCTTTTGATTCTTTTCAAGCTGCTGTTGCAGCTGCCTCTCGCAACCAATACACCCCCCCAACGCAAAACACACACACCATATAGTCATGATCTCAAGATCTGCGTATCAGATTAACCATGCATTTGTTTTCTATGTGACTCACCTACTTTGTGGTAAGAGAGACAGCTGTTTCATCACTTTTAACCACAGCTACAGCGTGCAGCATCTGTGCTGTAGCTCGATTTTTAAAGCAATAGTTTGCAATCCAAACAAACACTGCTTAGCATGCAGCTGAGCATACTGATTTACAAGCAGAGATCCCAGCAGGAGCTCCTGACATGGCTTCTCTTCTGTTAGGCTGAAAAACCGATGGGCCCCGGGGCCATAACCAGAGGGTGTTACTCACCTCTGGCTTAATTTACCTCACTGTCTTGATGGTTTGATAATATTCACATGAATGTTTGAGGTGTTTAACAGGAAGTTACACATCCAGGAGCCCAGATTCTGGATAACAAGAAGTAATTTCTCCATCTTTTCTGCTGGCCTGTTTATTGCTGTTCAGCTGAAAAGTTTTTGTCTTTGATGCGTATGAAATGCAGCATGGAGCGCAGGTCTGTGCTAGTCAGAGCAGTTTGGTTTTGATATGAATCTGCAGAAATCTACACAAATGTACAAAGAAAAAGAGAGAAGGGTACAGTGGGCGAGATAGCTGTTAAAGACAGATAAAAGTACAGGGGAAAATGTGGTCATCAGCAGCCCCAATCAGCGCAGAGTTTTATCTTTTCATATCGCATTGAAGATAGCAGGAGAGAGTCAGACTCTTGACAAGGCGGAGGGAGATTAAAACACAGAAAGATGAAGGGGAGGAGACAAAAGAGTAGCTCGGAGTGATGAAATCTCACCGCTTCTTAACTCGGCAAACGGGGTGATGGATGAATTTTTAGCAGCAGGGAAATTCCTCACTGCCACGTCGCCCCTAGCATATCTCTCCACAGTTGAAGTGATATTGGATTTTCACATATCTTTTCCTCTTACTGTAGCATTGTGGTCAGAACTCGTCTGACTGGTGCGTTTTCATGTTTCAAGCCGCCTATACGGATTGAACTATTCCCATTTAGAGAACTTGATTAATGATGCTCCCTACACCCAGTTTTACCTGGATCTCCCTCTCTTTATGTCATGTTGCCAGTGCTCTGACTGACTGTGCATGCTGCACAAACACACTGTGCTTCAGGCTGTTATTATTATGCTACAGAGAAGATTAGACTTGGACAGCAAAGCATGTACAGCGACAAATTACTCTGACACAGTGGTCATACATGCAGTTTTTTCTTATTCAAGTGAAGAAACAACGAAAGTGGTGAATACAAAAATAGTTAGTTCTCAAGGGAACAACGTTGGCACAAAATGCTGAGAAAGTTTCAGTTTGATATGTATACATACTGTATCTGGTGTGCACTGGGTTAACGCAACTAAAATTGGAAATGTTATGCAACTCAGTTATGCTTATTCCAACTATGACTTTGATCTGGTTAGGGTTATTAGCAGATCCTGTTTATACTTTGGTTTCTATGTTAAAGGGGTACTCCACACATTTTCATAGAATCTCATCCACATTTCCATAAAATCAGGAGTTGGAAGAGAGAAAACAAAAACTCGTAACACAACAGAGGCTAATGATTTACTAACATTTAGTCTAAAATGCTACAGCCTTCATTTTCTACCTGTGCTACATTTCCTAGCTCACCTGTCCTACACCAGCTTTCTTATCCATATACTGTATTTTATCTGTGTGTCTTTTATCAGCATGTGATAGTTGAGATGCCCGGTCATGTCCCAACATTCAAGTGTGAATTTCACAGATTTGTCCTTTTGCCTCCTCTTTTTCATGTCTTTGTGTCCTGTTTAGGTGGTTTTCAGGCGGTGTTTTTTATGAAGTCATCTTGTGTTCTGGCTGACAGCTGATGAGAGGAGGACAGGAAAACAATTACCGTCTTCAGTTTATGTCTTTTATACACTGTACACATGCCCTTCTTTTTGACACCAACAGCGATGTATTAATCAGGCAGACAAGATTAGACAGTTAGGTAATGTGTTATGGTTGTGAAGGTAATGGTCTGAGGAGATAACCGAGCTGTCTCTGACAGACTAATAGTTTTGCTTGTTAGCTTCCAAGAAACATTTTCCTCATGAATTTCTTGATGAAGTCTAGTCTAATATTGCAGTCACCTGTTTCTAAGTAGCTTTTGCATGTAATGAGTCAGTGTCAAAGGTTGTACGACACCTGATCATCATATTTATACAAATCACTTTTGATTGACACTAGTTTAGTCTGCCTTCTCTGATGAATCAGTTCCTCAATCAGTAGAAAAATAATTGACAACTATTTGGATAATTATCATTATTAATTTTTTTTCCAAACAAATAGATTTTTTGGGTTGATTTCAGGTTCCCAGTTGTGAGGTTGTGCTGCTTTTGTCTTGTGTGATTATGAACCGAGTATTAATGGATGACACACCCTGGGCTTTTGGAAACCGTGAAGGGCGTTGAGTACTCGAACAATTGAAAAAATAATCTGTAGATGAATTGAAAATGCAGTTAATCATTAGTTGCAGCTCTAATCCAGACAGGGTGATGGTGGTGTGTTACATCTCTGTGTGCAAATGAGACAAAGAAGACAACATGAATAATGCAACGTTGAGATGTCTTAGAATAAAACAAATACACATGGCTGTTGATAGTATCTGGGTAGTCGTGGAGCAGAGCACAGAGGCACCGAGAAGAAGCCCACTAGAGTACACTGTTGGCAAAAATGACCCAAGTGATGTTTTACAATCTGGCAGAGCATGAGTGCACATTAGAATATGGGTCAGGTGACATGTGTGCATGAAACTGACTGCAACAAACCCTTAATGAACATCAGAGCTTGGACTCTGTCTTTGTCATGGGTAGAGATGGAAGCATTGTCACATTTTAGAGATGCCAGTAAGGAGTGTGATGTTACACAAGCCGCAGCTCATGTGTGATGTTGTTGTCTAGTCATTTAAATGGTAAAAAATGCCAACACTCATAATTCACAGCTAATTTGGAAGAAACTCACCTGCTGATGAATGGTGCAAAATGCCAACGACAGATCTACATCCCACACCGAATGGATTTACCAAGCCTTGTTTGTGTGGTTTCGGTGGCTACGATTTTGTTCGGAGTCTTGGTGGAAATTCAAGCCACACATACAGTATAAACATGCTTCTTAATTATTAGAGGAGGCTTGGAATTTTTTTGGATTTTTTTAACAAACCCTTTTGCTGCCTGTGGGAATGCTTTCTCTCTGGCATTCAGTTAAACAAAACCCACTGCTGTGCACTGCAGCTCTATCATTACATCTGCCATTCTCTCCGGCCTGACTATCAAATGAATGCATTTGTCAATCACACATTAAGGGCAACACACAGGGAGGAGCAGTAGTCCTTATTTGGAAGATTTCCCATGTTAAGATGTTGTTTCCTCTGATGGTTTCCTACATATAATTGTGTCCTTGACATACTTGTTTTTAGAAATGTGCATTTTTTGTGTATTTGTCATGTCTAGTGTTATCTTTAGGTATGCCCTGAATATTGTCTACATTCTTACTTTGATTTCCATTGTTGTTCCAGTGCATGCAATAGTGTTTATTGTTAAAAAAAAAAAAAGGGGGGGGATACCTGTTAGCTGATTGCAAAGCAACCAACTAATTTTCATGGGTATTTGTTCTTTATTTAATCTAAATGCACGTACTCTAGCTGCACACCAGGGGCCAGGGCCATAATCGATGCCTACACACAAAAACCATGCATACGCCTTTTCCTATGCATAAACTGGAATATATAAATGCAGAATGTGCACACCTCACACATACTTCAGACCATGCGTACGAACAGTTTGAGTGGAAATGAAAAATAAGGCGAGACGGACCATTTTAAACAGCTTGCATTATTTTTATCTGTTTACATTTCAGTTCATAAAGTGTATTTTTGATGTTTTGATTCACTGTAAAGCTGTGTGGGCAAAATTGTGACGCGTATATCTGCTGTAGATGATGCAGGAGGTGCCGGTCCTGTTGCCCTCCTGCTCTCTTTGTGCGCGTGTGTGTGCTTTTCTGCCTCTTGCTTACAATCTGACCACTTCTTCAGTCATGGTCCTCTGCTCTGAACTGACAGTATTGACAGCCTCTATTATTTTTTTTTGCCGGTTGTCAGCTCTTCTTCTCTTCATCATCCCTGAAGTGAGACCGCCAAACAAATCATCTTTTCTTTTCTCCATTTTTCCAATCAGTCTGAATTTCACAGTCACTGAAATCGCGCTTCTATTTTTGTGTTGCTTACTTTGCCATGTCTAATAATGTGCGGTTCAGGCAGCGTTCTATGCAAATGATTGATTAAGGGTGTGTCTGGATAAAAGTGGGAGTGTAAAAATCCACGACGATTCAAATCTATAAAGCAGAACCAGGATATGACGTGGACTTTTTGCTAGTCCTATACCAG